CGAAGGATATGAAATTGTCCTTGCATTCGATATAATTAATCACAGCTCCCGTTGCACTACAGATAAGGCTCTAATCTCACCTCTGTGGCTTAATATTCATAATAAGAACCACAGAATGTGAATATGAATAAATATCATGCAGGCAACATGGATGGTAAGGTCAAAATAACTCTGTATTAATCAGGACTGTGGACTGATCTTGAATAAAGTAGAAGTGGAGATAATTTTCAGGCTGTATATGAAAGTATGGCACATGTCTTTTTAACTTAATGTAAATTCCCTTTAATGATGCTAATATATAGACTCATTGACTACTGCTGATTGTCCTCATCTTAGTGTCAGGACCAATTAGCTGTCTTTACCATCATCCTCCTCCCATCAACCCTCTAGAGTTAGGACTGATTGCTGTTATAGCTGTGTGGCGTATGTTCTTTTATGTGTGTCACCAGAAAGCAGTTTCTGACATTAACCACTCCAAAGCCAACAGTGCACAAGTATATGAGTATGGAAGCCCATTTCTGCCAAAATAATGACAAATTAAAAAAAAAAATTGTCTGTAAGTCATAATGAGAAACTTTCTTGAAATAATGACTATGTTAAAACAATTACATGATATTGCAAAATGATGACTTTGTATGACAAAAAATTACAACTTGGTATTGCAAAAAAAATGACTTAATGTCACAAAATGACTTAGTATCTATAGTTAATGACTTTTATTGCAAAATAATGACTTAATATCACACGAATAATGACTTAGTATCGCAAAAATAATGACTTAATATTACATCAGTAATTACTTAATATTATCCAAATATTGACTATGTATCACAATATAATGACTTCATATTACAAAATAATGACTTAGTATCGCAAAATAATTACTTAATATTACATGAATTATTACAGAAGCGTATTGCATTCACTTGACAAATAAAAAAAATCTGTTTTATTGAGTAATTTTTTCTTTTTTTCTGAGTATTTTTTTTATTTTTCTGTTTTTCGTGGTAATTTTGTTTCTGTTTTTCGTGTTTTTTGTTTTGTTTTTGGGGTAATTTTTTCTGTTTTTCTGAGTATTTTTTTCTGAGTTAAGAGAGCAATAGAACAACAGGCACTTTCATTCCTTTCTTGAGAGCTCGATATAATGGAAGCAAACATGACCCGCTTGTTTAGTTTTATCCAGTTTTACTTTGTTTTGGGTTATGTGTCCAACTGATTCTGGAGAAACACTGCAATGTCCAGCAGACCTGAATGGGCTTTTCGTCTGAACAACCGCAAAGTCTTAAGGTGCCTGCGTAAAGTCGACAAACTAATGATAACACCATCTATATGACTTAAAGACAAGAATATCTCCCAGTGTCTCAAACCCAAAACAAAGTAAAACTGGATTAAACTAAACAAGTGGGTCATGTTTGCTTCCATTATATCGAGCTCTCAAAAAGGGAATGAAAGCGTCTGTTGTTCTATTGCTCTCTTAACTCAGAAAAAAATACTCAGAAAAACAGAAAAAATTACCCTGAAAAACAAACAAACAAAAAAAACCCACAAAAAACAGAAAAAAATACCGAAAAACAGAAAAAAAAATTTACCACGAAAATCAGAAAAAAAAATTTACCACGAAAATCAGAAAAAAATTACACCGAAAAACAGAAAAATAAAAAAAAATACTCAGAAAAACAGAAAAAATTACTCTTTAAAACAGATTTTTTTTTATTTGTCAAGTGAATGCAATACGCTTCCGTAAATAATGACTTAATATTATCAAAATAATGACTATGTATCACAATATAATGACTTAATATTACAAAATAATGACTTAGTATCACAAAATAATGACTAAATATTATCAAAATAAGGACTTATCTAGTATCTCAAAATAATGACTAAATATTAAAATAATGACTTAATATTGCAAAATAATGAATTAATATCACAAAATAAGTTAGTATCACAAGAACAAAAACTTTGTATCTTCAATTAATGACTTTGCAACTGACAATAATGATTTAGTATTGGAAAATATTGACTTAGTATCCCAAAATAATGAATTAATATTGTAAAATCACTCAGTAGCTTAAAAATTATGTCTCAAAATAATGACTCAATAGCTCAATGAATGGCTTAAAATAGGAGAATAATGACTTAGTATTGTAAAATAATGGAAAACATTCACGAGCACTACTCACACTAACATTCACATTCTTTAGTATCTCCAAACAATGAGGACTGTTTTCTGAGTTTGCACTGGCCTGTGTTGTTTCCTTTTGGGATGCCTTACAGGATCTTTTTGTTTTTATCACACTGGTGGAATTGGGCTTCCATATAACAGACATGATGACTCTTACCCTCTGTTTCTGCTTGTGAAGAGAGAGAGCACGACGTAGACTGGAGATCTACGTAGCAGTCGTCCTGCCACGTGATGCGCTTGCTTCGGTCCAGGATAGAATCGTAATGTGCCTTCCTCTCCATGAGAATGTTGGATAATTTCTCTTCCCAGACGTCCCTGTTTTTGTTTGTTACACAATACAAGGTACAGCATTATTTACTCAATGTGCAACTACATTAACTCAGCATGATGGGTTGTACTGACAGGAGGTGAAGAAATCAACCAAGGCCTCAGTATCTTCTGGACCTTTCCTCCTTGGTCTAATTAATAATCCAAATGTAAATGTATACTGTAAGGAAGTTCTGCAGTACTGTTTAAGTATGTCTGTTGAAAAGCAACATATATACTTCACTATCACAACAAGATGCAACGACCAATTAGTGCTAAAGCTATACTCATTTACAAGATGCAGCAAATGGTCTTAACCTGAGTGATTTGCAATACCGCTCAGCATTGTGGTTAAGCCCATCGATACATTAGACATCACTTTAAAAGTCTATTTTCTCCTGAGCTAAATGTAATACAGCTTTTTTTGGATGTGTAACATCAGGTCAGACTGCCGCTTGATATTTGTAGCACAGGCGATTTAAAGTGCTTTATATCAGAAACTGAGACAAAAGATGTTACAAAACAGAGAAACTAAAAGCACAATGGATGCCAGTAACATGGATTCACATGACGTATGCTGGGAATTACCTGACGTCACCAAACCGTATGAGCCAGCAAGAAAAACAAAGTTTAACTGGTGTAACAGGAGAGTGGAGGGGATGTCAATAAAACACAATCTGCCCACACACACTGGTTTCTGATAAGAAGTCTAATTTTCATATCATATTATTTTGCAACCTTTGTTAGAATTACATTAATGACCTCACATGTCATAATTTCACTGTCAGGAAGTCATCATCATTGTCAGCTGTTTAGTTCACACTTCCAAACTCTGAAACAGACTGTGTGCACTTCTTTTTAGCTTTTAAAGAAAAGCAAAACACATCCTACTTGATTTAATCTATCTATTGATCTATTGTAACTGCTTTTAGCTTTTGCAAAGCACATTGTATTGTATCATTGCAAAATGTACTAAATACAAAAAGCTATATTATTAGTATCTCATATCACAAACTGCAATGAAAGTATTGCAAACATAAATTCAAACTGTGTTTGAGGTTTTTCACCGAGACATAACTTGAAATGGCGAACGCCTTCCTGTGTGGTTTGTTGCTGGTCACGTCACTTCTCACTTAGAGGAAGCCAATTCAAAAACGCAGATGCACTCCAGACAGCACGCCAGCTTCCGCTGTGCAGCTTAATAGTCAGAACCACTCAATGGCATGCTGTCATTGTACAAATGTGTTGGGAGAGAGTGTTGTGACAACGGTACACTAGAGAGTGCTCAGTACCTCCGGAAATGTTTGCAAAAAAAAAAAAAAAAAAAAACCCTCAAGAATCGTCAGCAATGAGCAAAAGCTCAAGTAGCAGTGTCATTTGCATGATGAAAGTTCACCAGCAATACTGTGCAAAGAAAATAAAGCCAGACAGATCAGTTGTAAATTCATTAAAACAAACAATTATGAGGTGCCAGTATGTCAGGTGCATATTAGCCTATGGTAAAAGGAAGTTAAAGGCTCATGATGGTCTTATTTTATTCCATTTTCACTGGCCTGGACACTCAATGCCATGATGGAGAGGAAACATTTGTTACTAGATTAGGTTTTACAAACCTTCTGTAGCTGTGAAGGTTCAATAAATGGTGTATGAGTAGTACACAAAGCTCAGTTAACTCACCCGGGCTTGTTAAAGTTGTCTGTAGGTATCAAAGCATGTGAAACGATGCCCACACAGATGTTTTACGCAGTAATGCCATGACCCTCACGACAGCAGGCGTAGGTCAAGTGTGAATTGGAGGAATTTTCAAAGGAGTGAAAGCTAGTCGAGGACTACAGAGCAAATTAAATGAGTCACGAGCACACACAGCAGCCGAAGACATCGCAGTCAGTGCTGTCACTGAGACACAGTTACATGCTGCAGCTCCTTCCTGCCAATCTAATCTGCCTTCCTGTGTTGTGGTTAGCAGGTCGAACAGTGCAAAGACAGAAAAAAAAACGTGGGCTTTGAAGTTGCACGCGAGGCCCTGAAACTTTCACCACGCTTCAGTGTCTTCTTTTTGGACAGCTACTTAAATGTGCAGTTCCACAAATGAGAAGTGAGATGAGAGATAAATGATTACGAGTGCTGAGGCCTGACGGAGCAAAGAACAAACGGCTTCAGGTTGCAAATGCATCAGTAAGTACTGCTAACAAGTGATAAACAATGTTTCAGGTTGGAAAGTTTTGCAACAACACATCTCTACCTTGATGTGTACATAACGTACCAATCTCAAACACATTATACATAATAGTAGGTACTGCACAGCACAAAGTAAATAAGTAGAGCTGAGTGAATGTACCTGCTCACACGCAACCTCATCCAAAGAGACACGAAAGTAGACTGCTTCCTGTGAGCAGTGGGACTTACTTGACTGGCTGGAGATTATAGTAATTACATATTTAAGAACTAACTGGGGGATGAAAATGAGGCATATGAAACAGAACACAACACACAACAGGTCAATAAATGACTGTGATGCTGCGCAAATTGCACATCTGCTGAAGTATTTTATTTCAAACCTGCTACATGTGTACAGTATGACATTTGAAGGAACACAGGGGGAAATAAACTGTGAGGCAAACACTGGATAAAAAGCTTTTGACATGTGACCTGGAGATGCAGATGATGCAAAGTTTTCTTTCCAAAGTTTTGTGTGACGTCTCCTTCAGTCTGTAAGTTCTTCGCTGAGTGTACACAGACAAACATTTATAGGTGTCTGACTTCCCTTGGAGTTGTGTTAGATTTGAACATCTCTTCATCTAATTTTTTTCCACTTGTTGTCAGTGCCCTACACAGTGTATATAAATACAGTACATACAGGAATGAACATGACTCTCATGTAAAACAAGTGTATGAGCAGAAGTGTTACATTACATATCAGCACAATTGCATGTCAACACAATATTTGTGGTGTAATCTTGAGGCGCTATTCCCTTCTTCTTTACATTTAAAACTTTCTACATGTACCATTTTACACAAAACCTAAAAATATAGAAGTTTACAATTATGAACATTACACAAAACATAATTTCAAGGGGGGAAATCATTCAATTATCTGCTCGCTAAACACACAAAAAAGGGCTTTTTGCTTGTTTTACATCCAGTTTTTCTTTTCTTTTTTGCACAATAGCTGAACTTATATGAAAGCAGCAGTGTAGCTTGACAGAGGTGTATTAATAAACGTCAACACTGAGAAGTAAGATCTGAAGAAAACAGTGCTGACTGTGGTGATTAAAGCAAACAAATTGAGATTCTGTGCACCACAGCAAATGAGTAAGGCAACATGACAAGGTAAGCGGAACATTAACTATATTAAAAACGGAGCATATCCAGGCTTATACGTTTATTTCATGGCACTTTGTATTGGCAATTTCTGTTTTTTTCAAATTCAACTTTTTTTAAGATTGTTTGAATCTGTTCAAAAAGTGGAATCAAACTAATTTAAAGGTCCAGGGTGTAGGATTTAGCGGGATATATTGGCAGCAATCAAATATAATATAGTTGGTATTGTAGTGATCCATTTACATCTACACAGGGAGCGGGTCCGCCATGCTTCTAAAGTACCTCAGAATGGACCAAACAATTATGCGTCAGCGACTGTAGTTAGCAGCCCTTAATATTTAAGGGTCATTCTGATTGATAATGATATAAATTCTGTAATACTGTCGCATGAAACTGCTTTATTCAATGGTTTTACCGGTTTTAATCACCCACTCTGTTTTGTATAATTCGGCTCCCAGTAAAAACCTCCTTAACAGTGAACACTGAAGGAATTCTAATGGGGTTTTCATGCTTGGCACCTGGGAAAAGTTTCAGCTGGTTGCAATCTGCAATCCTCACCACTAGATGCTGCTAAATCCTACACACTGCCCCTTTAACCAATCAGAAGATTTCACTTTTTGCTCTGAACCCATCTACAGTAGTTTCTTCATTTCCACAATAAGTTATTACTTCAGATTGGCAATAACTGCCTCCGAACCACCCCGAGAATAACTAACAACATATCCATAGTATTTACACTTAAAACTGCAGCAGAGATGGCTGTACTTTCCCTCTAATAAACGAGGAACCAGCTGATCAAATAACACACAAGTAAAAAGGCACAGAGGTTTCTGAGCCACTAAAAACAAAAACAAACAAAGATAACACAAGTGAAATGTAAGATAGTTCTGATTTTCTTAAGCAAACTCTCATTACTAAAGACAAATACTCTGCATTCAAGGAATTACTCTCTCATCCCTTTTTCTAATTTTTGATTGAGAAAATGTAAACAGTTTGCTTTGAGTAAGCACACAAAAGTGGTTACAGACACTCATCACAAGTTAACTACAGACATTCACATTTAAAAGACAATCAAGCCCTTTGAGAGACTAGAGTTTTACAGCATGTAGCAGGAAAACAAAGCAGGAAGTCGACTGTTTTGACGACTGAATGTGAGCCTAACAAACATTACCTTGGTTATAAAGTCTGTTGTTAAAACATCATACCAGCTGCAAATGTGATGAAGGTCATTAGATCGATGGAGCTTCCTGCATAGCATGGTTGTTTAATTTTTTTTTAATTTAAAAGGCTTTTTCCACAGTAACATAAACAAGTCAACAAAAATGACCATTTAGGACTCAAGTATTAAAAACAAAATCCTCCCTTTTCCTTTAAAAGTAGTAACCAGCACTGTTCACAGGCAAAAGTTGTGCAGCGACCTCTAGAAAAATATGTTATCTTGCTTTTTAAAATTCATGGGCTGCCTGATTTAACTGTCACTGGTGCCATGAAATATCACATGTCACACACTGGATGCAACCACGCTGTTAACAGACAACTACGAGTCAGTGATCTTCCAAAGACACACAGAAGGACACTTGTGGTGGCATTCGTTTCAAAACAATGGCACAATCAGTTATGAACAGGTCAATTAAACCTCTGATTACCCCCCCCTCGCCTCTCGCTCTCACTCCTTTGAAGTCCCACGCACATGAGCACTTCCAGATGCCTGGATTATAGATCTGACAGTCCCTCTGCGTGTTCACTCAGCTCCATGGTGTAATAGTCCAGAGGGCGCCTGAGAATAGAGACAGCAACATTAACAAACACACATGCACGATCGAGCATACTGCTTTCAGAGCCACACACTGCAAATACACCAGTTTCTGGTCACTTAAAGTACTCCAGGGGTAATTTAGAACTGATCTTTTATAGTTTACCTTTGACTGTCCCCACTCTGCCCTTATTTTTATTTCCCAATTGACTTTCAACAACTTTCTGAGTACTGCTGTGAACTTTCTGTATCTATTTCAGAGTTACACACACAGGTGAAGAGAGCAATAGGGATTAGCATTAAGGGGCAAGTTTTTTTCCAGCCAAGAAAAAGTAGGAACGTGGGAGAAAGATGTCATGGCTGGCGGACAAAGTCTACATCCATGTCTGTGAAAACATGAATGCTTCACACCCTTCGCACCCAAAATAAGAGGCACCAATTTAGTATCTGACCAAACATCTCCCCTTCTGTTCCTGAGATATGACAGTGAATAATGGCCAGAAAAGTGTACATGATGATGTCACAGTGAAGTTGATCTTTGACCCTTTAGATATAAAATGTCATCACTTCATTATTTTATCCTCTTAGACATTTGTGTTAATTACCGTATGACTTCTCCAGTTAGGTCACAGTGACCTTGACCTTTGACCAAAAAATCTTTTAGTCTTCAGTCCAAGTGGACGTTTGTGCCAAATTTAAATTCCCCTAAAATGTTCTTGAGATACCGCAATCCCAAGAATAAGACAGGTGCAAGGCCACACTGACCTTGACCTTTGACCACAAAAATCCAATCAGTTCTTTGTTAAATTTAAGTGACCGTTTGTGCTTAATTTGAAGAAACTCCCGCAAGGTATTCTTAAAATATTACATTCACAAGAATGACACAGATGAGGTCACAAAGACTTGACCTTTGACCTATGACCACCAAAATCTTATCGATTCATCGATTCCAAATGGACATTTGTGCCAAATTTCAAGAGATTCCCTCGAGGCGTTCTTGAGATATCGTGTTCACAAGATGGGGTGGATTTATGTACGTACAGATTACGGACAACCCGAAAACATAATGCCTCCGGCCACAGCTATCCCCGGCATGGAGGCATAGAAACAAATGTTTGAGATGTTTGAAGGAATTTTTAACCTTAAATTCAAAGTGATACAATGCCTTTAATTATCAGCGCACAGCATGGAGGGTGTTAGCTTAGCATACTACATGTGCTGCTTTGTGTATTAACACCAGGCACTGCAAGAATATGAATAATAAGATGAATAAATCCTAAAAGAAGACACTAACTAATGCACAAATTAAATGACGTGAAAGGCTTGCATTTCACTGAAAATGTATTTTACATATTCTTAATTTGACAAATAAATTGACTGACTGATTGATTCAGTCTTTATGTTCAGCTAATATAACTTAAGCTGACTACTGCCAGCACATTGGCTGTAGTTTTATATTTAACATACAGACACCAGCATGGTATCAATCTTCTCAACCAACACTCAGAAAACAAATAAATGTATGAAATGTGAATATTTGCACATTTCTCATTATACTGTAAATCATGCTATCTATATACTAATCATATGTTGATTGTCCTACCACTGTTTTTACACTATATTGTTGTAGTCAATGTTCTTTCCCTCATACTTCACGACTGCAGGCTGCTACTTTTTCATTTTCCTCCTCTAAGAACTCATCCTCATGTAACCCCAAAAGACAAAAGACCCAAACTGAGCGCAACTTCTCTTTATCGAACCAAAATCTTTTCTAAAGAAATTATCCGAGGGTTCGTCACTGCTGTGGATCAGGGAGAATTAATGGCAACTGCCTACGTGAACGAGAAACAAAAGAAACATCTTCAGTGCGAGACTCCCAACAATGCAGCTAAATGAGCATTATTGACTCTGAGTTAAACACACTCAGTGGTAAACTGGCTGTCTGGCATACCAGGACAAATCTAAAAATCCATAAAGTTTTTACTAGCTGTCTGGCCCTGTCTGCCTCTCTTTACCGACCCTTTGTGCCTGTCATTGAGAGCGGGCTACAGGCAATCATAACCAACCAAGTCAGTTAAACTTTCGCTTGCACAATATGGCGCTGCGTCACAGGCTCCATCATATCCTACTCCACTGATACAGTTATCACTATAACTGCTGTGACATGACTCGTTACACTATCAGAGTGTGATCGATTCAGTCCGATGACATTTGGAAAGTGCAGAAGAGCCGCACGACTTAAGTGATTCTACTAGGCATTAAAAGTCAGGCCAGTTGCACCCTTTCTTATAATCTGAAGTGTTAGCTAGTGTACATAATATGATATACAATTTGATATTGTACCATGTAGAATATGTACTGTATCATGGACAAATATATTTTTGTGTTACACAAGCATCCACATATTAATATATACAATGCCCCGTCTTGGTTGTTTTCCCTCTGTCCTTGTTCCCTTTGTCTTGTCTTGTAGTACTTTGCTGTGATTTTTTTAACTTGTGGTGTATTTTATTGGTTGTATTGTTGTTGTTTGTTTGTTTTGCTGGTTGTTGGTTCATTTTAAAATTAAATAATAAAGAAAATAACGAAAAAAAGATGATAAATGTTTGCAAACTGTATTTGGCTAGTTTAAAAATTCAGAAAATAACATAGCAGCCTACCTGAGTAAAATACATTAGTTTGCACTGAACGAAGGCAATGCCATGTTTTTTTTTCAGGACATCATCATGGTGTTTATTTTATGACATCTCTTCATTTGTTGTCAGTAAGAAAAAAATAGTAAGAATCTGGTTTGTGCTGTTTTATTTAGTGCATTATTAACCTTAAAGAGGCAACAGATAGGATTTGTTTTTTTTAAGCTTGGCACCACCTAGTGTCAGTGGTGCTGCGCCGCACTGTCGCAAAGACCAAATTGACCGTGGGGATCAGAGATAATCAATAAAATGTAGGCTGTAAAGCCACCGGTATACCTCTATGTATATGCAGAATGAGAAGGTGTGTGGACACTCTAAATAAATACTAAAAAAATGAGTAAAGAGACCGAGCAACAATTATCAGATTTATCTGAAGAAAAAACAAATAGTAATGCAAATAATTATACCAGAATGCACCGTACCAGTACAAACAACTCGCAGTAAATTATACCAATATGAACATAACCAGTACAAACAACAGTAGACACAGTAAAATTATACCAATATGCACATAACAGTCCCAATTCTAGAATAAACGCTACCGTATGGAAATGATGTGGCCGGTTGGAGCTCAAATTGAATGGGAAACAAAGTTCAGTGTTCACTTAGCTGGGCGTAACTTAGCTGGGCGATGTCCGTCGATAGCTGCCTCCGCTACCCGGGCCCTGGTTGCGGTGATTTGCGATGCTGGCCAGCTAGGAGTTAACTAGCAGCCAGTACAGTACAGTCCTCTCTCGGCTAGCTAACATTTAGCCGTGTTACTTACTGATCCATTAGAAAGAAATCTAGCTGGACACCGGTGTTGAAGCCTCTTTGGTCACGCTAACTGAGGTTTACTCTTGTTTTTCCTCTTCTTTTATCACTCTCCTTTTTGCTCTTCTTTGCCTCCTCAGTCAGAGGAGCTCGTTTTGTTTTGCTAGGCCCTTTTTCACTTGTCTCCAAACTTTGTCCGTCTGCCATTGTGCTCGTGACTCAACTATCTCATGCCCAACTCCTCATAAGGACCCTCTCCAGTCCCTGATTGGCTGACCGACCAATTTCGCAATACATGACGCGTTTCCTGCCGTAAAGCAGATTTTTTCCGCCAAATTTCGGCACCAGTGGCAGAAGCTTATTACAAAGATTGCAAAGCCACTAAGTAATTTATGTAAACGCTGATAGTCTGATTTTACTGTGGCCACTACCCTGTGCAACCCATATTATTTTCATAATGATATATTTAGGAAAAGATGCTATCTTTTGCCTCTTTAAAACACAGCGCAAATTGTGATAAACATTTGCATTTTTTTCTTGGTGTAGGTTAGGGCTGCAATAAATACATTTCGTATGTAATCAACCCTCATGAACTCTCACCTCACCAATATCCTATTCACAACACTCAATTACTGTATAATGAAAGAAGCATTACAAGTCAAAAGATTAAACAAATAGTTTATGTGCATAAATGTAGAAATGAAATGCTGTCATCATGGTGTAAAGAGGTAGTTAGAAATATCTATGATTCACATCTAGCAGACCAGAGAGAACTAAGGAGAGTAAAATAATAAGAGTCCTCACCTCCTCCTGTAGAAATATGTGAACAGAGCAGCTCCGAGTCCCAGCAGCAGGAGCACCGCTACTATCAGCCCTATCTGTAACCCCAGGGCAGACGCTAGGAGAGAGTCAAATAACACAGGTTAACACTTTTAGGCACAACATGGCACTTCAACATCCTGATCAGACTTTAAATCAGCAACAGATTTTATTCCTTCACATTCTCCACACATTCTCAATGCAGCCAGTTGTCTTTGTCTTGCAGTGAGTATGATAGAAATTCAGATTTTCTCATCTCATCATTCAGGTTTGTGCACCTGCTGTACGGCTGCCTCATCACATTTTCACTTTGTAGTATTGGCTGTAATATCATCCCACCCATCCCGTGTATGTTTGTGCATGTCGGCCTTTTGAAATTTATCTCAGCTACTGTGTTAGCAGTACACCAGAGGAAAAACTAGTTTATTTGTTTTTCAGTCCAGCCAATGTGCCTGGTGTTGTTTAAATAATTTAGTCCATCAGTAATTGGCCTTTTTACGTGCTGTTGGTGCCTCACTCCACATGTTGGATCCAGATCTCTGAAGCAAGGGTCCAAGAACAGAGGGAGCTGTTTGCTGAGCAGATTGTAAAGCCCCCTGAGGCATATTATGTTTTGTAATATTAGGCTGTGTAAATGAATTTGACTTGACTTGATCGTGCATGAGCACAAGTAGTTTTCCAGTTGTTGGCTGCTCACTGAGGAGCTGATGGTGTGCTCTTTATTTAACAGCTCACTGTGGTCACTGCTTTTGGTTCTATTACTGCTTGCAATATTTTACCAAACACAATAGTTTTAGCCATACACAAGTATGATGCTGAATGTATTAAACTAATAGTGGAATTCCTCCTTTCACATAGGCCTTAATTCCTTTTATTAAGGTTCCTGTATGCTGTGGGCATGTACCAAGTAATCTAGCCATCGGGGGTTGACTGTAGAGCACTGTACACACTGTATATCAACAGCTATGTAAAACAGCTGTTATTCTTATTCTCATTATAATATTACACCTCCTGCAGTTTGCTCTGTTAAGACTGTCTGCTCTGTCAGACCACTGCAGCGACTTTGATTAGCTCCTAATGATCATAATGTACTACCCTGGCTCCAAGCCAATTCAGTCCCTTATTTTTGACCGGGACAACATGTTGAGCGGCAGATTTCATTGACATATTCGTGAGAGGACTCGCTATCAAGGGTTGGCTGCCAGGCTTGAATTCATTCAGCATGTTGTAAGAGCCCAGAGACCCTGCTGACAGGGTTTAGCAAACTAGATCTTTATAGCAGACTATTAATCAGATGATTTAGCTGATTAGTATCTGTTTTTGTAGTGGTGAAGCTGGCGCATCTTAAAGGGTAAGTTCAGAACTTTTTAAACCTGGACAATATTTTCCCGTGTTTCTGTGTCAAAGTGACTGATGGGAACAAGATATTTTGACATTAGTCCAGCAGCTGTGACACAGGCTGCAACGTAACCCTCCAGGGCATGTTCGCTCTGTCAATTTATGTCAGAGAGAAGAGCTTGTTTTTGCCACTGACATAAGAACTCATGTAAAGGATCCCTACAGAGAGAGATCTTTTTGTTAAAGAGTAAGATCCTTTTTATTAAACATGAACAGCCTTGTAATTGCTATCGTCAAACCCACCAGTAATTTTATCACCATGGAACACACTTCTTTGAAAGTTGTCAGGCACAAAATAAAACTCACAAAAACCGTCTTGGTTCGTCTTTCCATTGTTCCAACAATCACCAACCTGGTTTGGTTGAAATAAACCTGCAATTCACCGAGTTACATGTAAAAATATGCTGGCTCTATACACGCTAAAATTACTGTATATTTAACCCTTTGAAACCTGGAGGGAAATCGTATTTCTTGTGCTGCTTTCAGACACTGTTTGCTACTATTTAAACCTCTGAATCCTGAGCAAACTGGGGAGATGTTTTTCAAAAACAAAAGGGGAAAAGGCATTGAGCAAGTTGGTAAGAAATGTCCCAGAAAACTGCAAATAAATAAATAAATAAATGAATAAGTAAATAAAAAATTATATATACATACATACATACATACATACACACATATATA